CAAATAATAATTTCCGAAATCCACAAACTAAGCTACTCCTAACTTATTAAAGAAATCTGAAACACTTCACTACAATTTCAATGAACACGCGTTTTCTAAACAATTTAACGCGCTCTAACAACTTCTGCAATTTCATAAAATACTTATACGAAGTTTATTCCAGAAAAAACAGCCAAATGAACTTGACAAAGGACTTTAAGCTCCAATTCCAATAAGTAATGTGACAAACTTAAAAACAAATTTTGAATTCCCCTGATAAAGGAATATCTGAGAAAATTCAAAATAAGATCCTGGAACGCTAATCTCAATGCATTTCATGTCTGCTACGCACTCTAAAGATAATCATAGCAGCTTTTCCTGCTGAAAATAGTATAACGAACTAGCAAATGTTTCAAATAAAAGCTTTTTCTCGGATCTACTCACTAGTTTGGTCACAGAAAAGATTTTCGCTGTTGTTTTCGTTTGAAGTCAGAGTTATGATGTAGATACAATGAACCGTGTAGGCTACTCTAGCAGAAAATTGATAATAACCACTTACAGAAAGTGCATAGCAAGTACGGCGTACAATTTGAAATTAGCTTTTTATGCCGTATCTGTTGGTATACATTTTACTGTGAATGGCCACTTTGAGCAAATTACAATTCCTTGTAAACGTAGCAATTGTAATTAGTAAAATGACAAAGTACGAATTCAAAAATACCTCTTTTGCTGTGTCGGGCTCTTCGCTACTCGAACTGTCATCCAATGAAAGATTGTTCAGCGTAGTATCAAGCAAATCCAAGTCATCGTCCTCGTTATAGTCATCATCAAGGCCAATCCTGCGCGAAGCAATAATACTTTAACAGTTGCAAAAAAGATAGTTCATGCAGCAAAAAAGTGCTTACTTTGATAAGTCATCCGATGAGTTACATTTAGCCGCGATGCTAACTCGTTCGCCTAAACTTGATGGTTCGCCCTCGCTAAAAAGAATGAGATATTAGCCATGGTGACTCGAAGCAACATTTTTCTTCGCATGGATCAAAAACCAACTCAAAGGCTTACATAACGCTTGCAGGTGCGCTGCGTGTCGATGATTTCTTTTGTCCCGCTGTCCAAGTATCGAGCATGTGTTGTAAGCCATCAATCAATCTATGAAAGTGCTCTTGTTGATGAGGTTTGAAAATCTATAGCAATCTCAAAGTGATGTAAATCTTACTGTCCAGAGTCATTCACTGAATCTGACTCATCCAGTCCACTGTCATCTCCTTCCTCCTCTTCCGTCTCTTTCTCCGGCATATAACAACCAGGTGGAAGCTTTTCAAACTCGATCATATCAGAAACAATGTTTTCCAGATCACGACCATCTGTCTCACATATCTAGAAATCGATTGCAGTAAGATGACACGGCAAGCAATTTATCATAAATAGAAAAAA